TTTTTTTTTGGGAACGATAGAGGTATGAATATATGAATATGAATATGAAAATGAACTTTTTCGATAAGCTTTACAAATATATATAGAGAGGAGAGGAGAGTCAAAGTCAATCTGAAGAGGCATTGGTTTGGTTGGCACGTATGTAGACATGTTTATTTGACTTTTTCAATATATTTTTTTTTTTTTCTTATAGTTATAGGGGCATCATTATTGGAACTGTCCGGAACCATTTTGTGAGAGTTTGTAATCGTTAGATCATCATATAATCATTGGAGTTAGTTGATCTAAAGGTTATCACTACAAAAAAACTCTTACATTCCAACGAAAATTTTCCGTTGGAATTTTTTATATTTCCGTTGGAATAGTTATTCCAACGGATATTCCTACATATAAAAATCGTTGGAAAAACGACCGTTGGAATAGCAAATATCCAACGGAAAATCCTATGGAAATAAATTCCTACAGCTATTCCAACGAAAAAAATCCGTTGGAATTCCTCAACTATCCAACACTTATTCCAACATAAAATTAAGTTTGTTGGAATATTTATTGGAATTTCCAACGGAAATTTTTGCCGTTGGAATTTCTCGTTGGAATTGTAGTGTTTTTTTGTAGTGTATAAATTTTGACAGAATGATTCTATAACGGGACCGTAACATTTACGTATCGTATATTAGAATTACAAATGTACAACTACTACAACTTATTTTAACTATTGTTCTTTTTTCTTTTTCCATCTTTTCTCTGTTTCATTAATTTTCTAAAGTGCCAAAAATTTATTACCAATTAGTTTTGACACCAATTTTATTTTTATTTTATTTTTCTTTTTCTTAACGACGAACATTTAATTCATCTCGTTAACTTTTATTCATAATTGAGGAAAATGCTAAGATCTTGTTACGGGATGGTTCCGTCAGTGTTTATCATCATTGGATATACATGTTGATTATGTTGTGAAAATAATCTACGGTAACAAACATTGACGGAATAAAACGAGTCTGTAGTCATTCCCCAATAAATTGGATGAAACTTTCTCCTACTTTACTTGTATAGGAATGCAATTTATTTTATTGTACACTTTGGAAATTGAGAAATGATTTGAGTCAAGACTCAAGAATATATATTAATATATATAAAAATAATTCATTTCAAAGTTCAATTCAAAACCGTAGTGGACATTGACCCTATCGGAGGATGATGTAAACTGATGTAGGAATTTAACTTATCCTCCAAGAATCCCTAAAACACAATTTCCAGGTTAATTATCTTTAAGGCTCCATACTATTGACTTAGTGTGTTATGCACGCGAGTTTGAAAAACATTTAATTGGTATGATTAATTTAAAAAAAAAATATATTATATGAATTAGTTGTTAATAGGATTTTGAGTTTATATTAAATAATACTTAAATAAAATAATTAAAGTTGATTTTATGTAAAAGTACAAAAGAAATTATGTGAAGTGCTGGTTAGATAAACTTATGTGAGTGAATTAAAGTTGATGTAATGTGTAAAAAAATGATTGAGTTATTTTATTTAATTATATTGATAATCAAAATAGCGGAGATGTATTAGATTTTAGTTAAATTTGAGTTGATTGATATTAGAACTGAGGGAAGCACGAGCCTAAATGCACTATAGTGAGGTTTCATCGCAAAACCAATTGATGATGGGCGGAGTAACTCATTAGGCTTATATACTAGGTTCATTTTATTCAAAAAATTCTCCGGTCACTAGTTATCTCACATTAAAATTAGTTATAGATCATCACACATTGGACAACAATAAGGCTAAGATTAGAGACGATAATTAACTTATAATTAACCCTATAAATACACAAGATTAATTTGATGAGGCAATACTGATCAACTACACAAATTGTAGACAACCATTTGCCTCATCGTACTATTTAATTAGTATTTATTTATAAAATTTTAATAATAATAATAAAAGAAAAAAAAAACAGATAGATCTAAGCAAATTATCCGCAATTTTAGGCGGGTACACTTGGCAATTTGATGACTATATAACATTAATTATTTCTAATTATTTAGTGATTTTTTTTTTTTTAATTTAAAGGGTTATATATGTGTGGTGACACTTAATGCACATATGTCACCTACTTGTTTAGGGAGTGAGATGCTTATTAGAAAAATAAGAGTGTTGCTATTATAATTGGTGTAAGGTTTTGTTTATTTTGTTGTCTGCCTTGCAACCCACCAAATCTTTTATTCCCAAGCCCAAAGCTACATATAGTATCTTCAATCCATTAAATTATTTTAGTACACTCATCTCTTTTATGGAGATGATGAGTACACTGAACATGAGTATAAAATATTGTGTTATAATATCAAAATGATTTATTTAGGGTAGGTAACGTGTCATACTACTATATATATATATATATATAATAATGAAAAGAAGAATTTTCTCCATATTATAGAGAATGTGTACGTTACGGAACTAGTCTGTCATGATTTTTAACCGTAAATTATCTACACTACACTAATATACATGTATATCTAATGGCTAAAATTCTGACAGAATGATTCTGTAATGAGATTGTAGTCATTCCGTAATTGGACTGCAATCGTTTCGTGAATTATATAATCAATATTTTCTTCTTTTTGTAAGTGCATCTTTCCACTTCATTTGGATTGCCTTTCTATAGGCAGCCTCTACTCACACTTCACAAAATTATGTACACAATAATTTGGTCACTCCATATTCATGCTCATCACTATTTAGATCCATCGTCTTACTATTCATTTCCATCATTTCACTATTCAGATTTCGTAAAAGTTGTAAAAAAAGTTGAAAAGTTGAATTGAGCAAATTGAAAGAAAAAAAAGGCTTCCCTAATCAGCAATCAGATAACTCACGAATCGTTTAATCAAATTGCACCTTCGATAAATTCTTTATTGCTAAAAAAAATCAAGGATCAAACAAATTCAATTCCATTTATTTGCAACACTCCCCTTTGAAATTACCACTATAAAATGTGTGTTTATGTTGCCTCATTCAAAATTTTACCCGAAAAATCATTGTGGGAAAAAAACCGAGATAAGAAAAAAACAGTACAACCGCGCATGCTCCCCCTCATGTTATCATCTGTGTAAATTTCGAAGATGTCTCATTCCAATGTTGTTGACGTGCTTTTGAAATGATGTAGTCGGACGCACCTTCATAAACAAATCTGTTGCATTATCAGTTGATGTAATGTATTGAATTTTGATTTGTTTGTTCTTTTCAAGCTCTTGAGTGTATGGGAAAAACTTTGGCGGGATATGCTTAGTTTTGTTACTCTTAATATATCCTTCTTTAATATGTTGATAATCCACTAACTTTGGCGGAAAAAACTTTGGTGGGATATGCTCATTTTCAAGCTCTTCGATTTTATCACGGTCGGATATTTATTGTTCAATAATCCACTAGCTTGTTGAATATGTTGAGTCATGTTTCTGATACAGATGCTTTCCCTAGTTGCTTCATGAAGTGTAATGATCTCAGTATGGTTTGAAGATTTAGCAACTAAAGTTTGTTTCTAAGAATGCCAAAAAAATGCAGTTCCACCACTAGTTAAAACGTAGTCAGTTTGAGATATTGCCTTATGTAGGTACGATAAATATCATGCACTTGCAAAACCAATCGTTTCATGTTTTTTATCATTTAAGTAAAACAATCCCAAATCGGTTGTCCCGAAGATATGTTTGATGCCATTCCAACGTCTTCTTGTAGGTGACGAGTTATATCTTGCTAATAGGTTGGTAGGAAAAGATATATCTAGTCTGGTGCAATTAGCAACATACATAAGAGCTCCTATTGCACTCATATATTTCGAGACCAAGTATGTCTCTATTTTCTTCACAAGGTCGAAATGGATGATTTTCAACATCTAATGTTCGACTGTCCATATTGAATTATTTCAGTATTCTTTTGGCGTGGTTAGATTAGTGGACAGATATCCCATTTTTTGTACTCGTTCTATTTGTAAGTCGAGACAATATTTGGTTTTTCAATATCTTTCATTTCATATCGCCGTTCAGTAAAGTGACTGCTTCTCGAATTACATTTGTTGTCCCAATAATAATATCATCATCATAGACAACAATTATCACAACTACATCAAGTGATCTTTTTACAAAGACACACAGACACATCTGATTATTTACCCATTTTTAAAAGTTGTTCACACAAACAATTATACCACATATATTCTGATTGTTTCAAACCATACAATTATCTTTGCAGCTTTATCGCATATAACTCTTTAGGTTTGGAGTTTAGTGCTATGGGCATTCTAATTCCTTTTGAGATTCTCATGTAAATGTCGGCATCTAATGATCCACATAAGCAGTCACAACATCCATAAGACGCATCCAAGATTTCGTGGATAACTAAACTGATCAAGTATTTGAAAATAATTGCATCCATAACAGGGGAAATTACTATTATTCTAAAATTTTATATTAAATAATTAGAAATATATTTAGTAAAATTACATTAGTGAGAAATTAATTTATTTAAGTTAAATTAATTTTGCATAAATGTAACGTAAAATAAAGTTGTACTAAGCTAGCTAGTCGATTGAGAATTGTTCAGTAGTAACCAAAGGCCT